CCAGCCCACATTTGTTGCTGGACAGCCCCTCCGCCCTCCTGCCTCGGCTCGTGGAGGAGTCCTCTGGGGTGCTTGTCCCTCCCTCCGTGGGTTCGGCGCACCCTGGCCCTGGAAAGCCGGAGCTGGGGAGAGCCAGAAGCGTCCATTTCCGCAGGGCTTCCATACCCGCAACCTGAGGCAGCGGTTGCTGGGAGGCCCAGGCCTCCTCCCGCGGGGCCGTGTCCTTGTTTGTTGAGTGACCGAGGCGCTGAATGGAAGAGGAGTTTTACACGAGGCACAGGGTCGGGCCCTGAGACGAGGCCTTTGCGGTCCGGAGCTGGAGGCCAGGCCTGGCAGGCACCACGTGCAGACTCGGCGGGAATGCCTCCTGGACCAGGCCTGGGGGGCACCACATGCAGACTTGGCGGGAATGCCTCCTGGACCAGGCCTGGAAGGCACCAAGTGCAGACTCGGCGGGAATGCCTGGAGAGCACCGTCACCCCAGTCACTCACCTGCTGGTGCCTGAAGTCGGGCGCTAACTCCCAGAACCCTCTTCTGAGAAGTCGGAGGTGTGGCTGTGACGCCCGCATCCACTGCAGAGACGGAGCATTCCGTTTGTGTCCCTGTCTGTCCGGTAATCCGGGCCTCTGTTAGTGTCACGCGTCTGCGTGCCCGCCCCCGTGTCCTGAGGAATATGCAGACCGAGCCACCAGTGCGCTGTGACCGCGGGTGAAATGCCTGCATCAGTGGGACGCACTGCGGTACTGACAGCCGTCAGGAGTGATGGGCACGTGTGTGCGGCGACCCTTCAGGCAGGCTCTCACTGTGCGTCTCATGCCCGCTGTTCAAAAGCAGAGACCTCCTCCATCCCGGTTCTGAAAAGGGACCACACACGCAGCCCTGGGCGGGGGAGGGAAGGTCATACGTTGGCCACAGGCGCCATCTAGTGGCCGCGCCCGCGTCTTGCACTGGCCACCGGGGCGTGGAGGCGGCTGCTGGGAGCCAGCCCCTGCCTTCCACTGTTAACTGAGACCAGGGACGCCTGTCTTATGAAATGGCCTTTGTTCGCCAGTCCAGCACGTGCCCTACTTTAACTCTGAGACGACTAAGAAATAATCAAGAGTTGTTTTTTTTTTTTTTTTTAAAGGGCTGTTAGCAGGTTCTTTGTAAAGCAGGTAGAATTTGGATCTTGTGTTTTTGGATAATTACACATTGCAACAGTAAAACTTTCATCCCGGTAAGTGCTAGGTTGTGCTCGTCTTAATTGCCTTTACTGGAGGAAGGGCACCGTGTGCCTTCTCTTCAAAGTCTCACTCCTGCTTTTATCTCCTAGCTCACTCTGTGTGCAAGAAAAGCCACGTGCGTTCGGGTCAGGGTTCAGGGCGCTCTTGTAGCCTGGGCTCGGTAACTCAGAAGCAAGGCCTGGTGGAGTCGTGGGAGCTGGGCGATGGGGGATGGGAGACTTCCGGCTCCTCCTCTGCTCCACACGCCCTCGGTGACACTCGCAGTCTCGCGCGCTGCACGGACCCCGTCTCCAGCGTGCCCACCACTGCTCTGGGGGAGGGAGGTCTCATTTGCCGAGTCTTTGTTGTTGTTGTTGTTTTTAAAGATTTATTGATTTACTTGAAAGTCAGAATTACAGAGAAGGATACACACACACACACACACACACACAGAGATCTTCATTCACTGGTTCATTACCCAGAAGGCCGCAACAGCCAGGACTGGGCCAGGCTGAAGCCAGGAGCCAGGAGCTTCATCCGGGTCTCCAGTGTGGTTGCAGGGGTTCAGCACTTGTGCCCTACTCCACTGCATTCCAGGTGCACGAGCAGAAAGCTGGGTCAGAAATAGAGCAGCCAGGACACGAGTTGGTGCTCACATGGGATGACAGCACCTCTGGCAGTGGCTTTACCCACTACACCATAATGCCAGCCCCTAGTTCTTAATTTTTCATGACAGGTTCACATACTGTGCCTGTGTGAGAGACTCACGTATCTGTGCCTGTGTGTGAGGTTCATACGTGTGCCTGTGTGAGAAGCTCACATACCTGTACCTGTATGATGGGCTCACGTCCCTGTGCCTGTGTGAGAGGCTTGCATACCTGTATGTGAGAGGCTCACATCCTGTCCCTGTGCCTGTGTGATGGGCTCACGTCCCTGTGCCCGTGTGATGGGCTCACGTCCCTGTCCCTGTGTGATGGGCTCACGTCCCTGTGCCTGTGTGATGGGCTCATGTCCCTGTGCCTGTGTGATGGGCTCACATCCTGTCCCTGTGCCCGTGTGATGGGCTCACGTCCCTGTCCCTGTGTGATGGGCTCGTGTCCCTGTCCCTGTGCCTCCCTGTGATGGGCGCACGTCCTGTCCCTGTCCCTGTGTGATGGGCTCACGTCCTGTACCTGTCCCTGTGTGATGGGCTCACGTCCCTGTGCCCGTGTGATGGGCTCACGTCCCTGTGCCTGTGTGATGGGCTCACGTCCCTGTGCCTGTGTGATGGGCTCACGTCCCTGTGCCTGTGTGATGGGCTCACGTCCCTGTCCCTGTGTGATGGGCTCATGTCCCTGTGCCCGTGTGATGGGCTCACGTCCTGTGCCCGTGTGAGAGACTCACGTCCTGTGCCCGTGTGAGAGACTCACGTCCTGTGCCTGTGTGATGGGCTCACGTCCCTGTGCCCGTGTGATGGGCTCGTGTCCCTGTCCCTGTGTGATGGGCTCACGTCCCTGTGCCCGTGTGAGAGACTCACGTCCTGTGCCCGTGTGAGAGGCTCACGTCCCTGTGCCTCCCTGTGATGGGCTCGCGCACCCACCTCTGTTCGCACGTGGCTTTCCCCCGCGGTGCACCTGCTCACCAGTCTGCGGATCCCCACGTTCACGTGAACGTCGTCCTTTGCCATTGCTGCAAGTGGCTCAGGGGTCCCCGTTCGCTGCCCCCCGTTCCCCTGGAAGTGAGCGTTTGCAGCTGTGCTCGCTCAGCCCCTGGCCTGCACAGGCGCCTGCTGCCCACCGGCCCCAGGGACCGTTTTCACATGGATATTTTGTTGTTTACCAGGTTGATGCGCTTCCTAAGTTTCACCTCCATAAATAGACTACATAGACCTACAGCGTTTTCGGGGAACTTCTGAGGCAGATAGCTGCACTCCACTGCTTGGTGAAGTCTCCAGGGCCTCACTGAGAGACCCGTGACCCAGCGATCTGTGCCGTGGCGCAGCGGGTAGAGCTGCTCCCTGTGGTACAGGCATCTCCTATGGGCGCTGGTTCGAGTCCAGGCTGCTCCTCTTCTGATCCAGCTCTCTGCTGTGGCCTGGGCAAGCAGTAGAGGATGGCCCAAGTGCTTGGGCCCCTGCACCTGCATGGGAGACTGGGAAGAAGCTCCTGGCTCCTGGCTCCGGATCAGCGCAGCTCCAGTTGTTGCAGCCATTTAGGGAATGAACCAGCAGATGGAAGACCTCTCTCTGTCTCTCCCTCTCTTCTGTCTGTAACTCCACCTCTCAAGTAAACAATTAAGTCTTAAAAAACAGTACCAGTGCCCTGGGGCCTCCTGTGCCTGCTGTGGCTGGGCTGTAGGACAGATACCAGCTGGCCACGTGCTCTGGCTCCAAAGGTAACAGGCAGCTGTGCAGGTCTGAATGCTGGTCCCCAGGTTTAAGGGCTCCGGGGTCACCTGGACTCCAGGTTTAAGCACCCCGGGGTCACCTGGTCCCAGGTTTAAGGATTCCGGGGTCACCTGGTCCCCAGGTTTAAGGGCTCCGGGGTCACATGGTCCCCAGGTTTAAGGGCTCCGGGGTCACCTGGTCCCCAGGTTTAAGGGCTCCGGGGTCACCTGGTCTCCAGGTTTAAGGGTCCTGGGGTCACCTGGTCCCAGCTTTAAGGGCTCTGGGGTCACCTGGTCCCCAGGTTTAAGGATTCCGGGGTCACCTGGTCCCCAGGTTTAAGGGCTCCGGGGTCACCTGGTCTCCAGGTTTAAGGGTCCTGGGGTCACCTGGTCCCAGCTTTAAGGGCTCCGGGGTCACCTGGCCCCCAGGTTTAAGGGTTCCGGGGTCACCTGGTCCCAGGTTTAAGGGCTCTGGGGTCACCTGGCCCCCAGGTTGAAGCACCCTGGGGTCACCTGGTCCCAGGTTTAAGGGTTCTGAGGTCACCTGGCCCCCAGGTTTAAGGGCTCCGGGGTCACCTGGCCCCCGGGTTTAAGGGCTCTGGGGTCACCTGGTCCCCGGGTCTAAGGGCTCCAGGGTCACCTGGTCTCAGGTGGTCCCAGGTTTAAGCACTCTGGGGTCACACATGAAGCCCGAGGCAGAGCTGTCGTCAGGTTGTGCTGTGGTCCTCTCCGACACGAGCAGGCTCTCAGGCCCGCGGGAGGTGGAGGCTCCGGCTGCCCCAACCCTCGGCAGACCCCGCCCTGCTGAGATTCCGAGTTTGGGGCGGCGCCCAGGCTGTGCTCTGACCCGGCAGTGTTGGCGTCGAGGGAGGGAGCTTGACCACCCCTCACTCATGGACTCCTACAGCCGAGGATTTGGACCTGAGGCCTGGGTCTCATGTGGGAGGTTTGTGGGGGCGGACACTGGCACCTCCAGGCAGAGCAGCCGTCTGCTGTCCTTACCTCTGCGTGTCCAGGGTCTCACCCGGCCTCTGTTTCTTCCCCTGAAGTGACCTGGGTCACCGCGAGGACCCCACAAGAGCCTCAGATGGAGAGGACTTGGAAGAGAAGTCTCGTGGAGACCCAGGCTGGTGGAAGCCGTCGGGTTCCGTTCCGACTCTGGCGTCACTGCCTGCGCTCCGAGAACAGCAGCGGTGCAGTGACGTGGAGCTGGTGCCTTCTTACGTCTCTGAGTTACTTCAGCCCACTGCCCACCGTGGCCTTGTCCTGCCCTGGCTTGGCGAGCTCGGCACAGAGTTGGCGAGAGCAGCTGCACTCGTGCCACTGATGGCAGATGCGGTGCTGTCTTGGGGGCTGCATGTGCGCCTGGCCAAGCCGAGCACCTGTGCACCTGCCAGACCCCCCGCCTGGCTCCTGCTGGTGAGAAATGCTAACTCCCCTCTCACGTTTTGCCTCCTGCAGGGGGACAGCCGCGTGGCTGCTGCTTTCCCGGAGAGATGGCATCCTCTGTGCTCTCCAACGGGGACCAGGCTCACGCGCTCCGGACCAGCCCCTCCGAAAGAGACGCCGCTGTGCCCACGGCCGGGGTCGTCCTCGAAGACTGTGGCAGGGAGCCGTGCACGCGGCCTGAGCCGTGTCGGGCTTCTGCTGCCTGGAAGACACCAGCGGTTCACCCCAGTGCCCCTGACAGTGTGGACGCCCCTCCGAGCGTGGCCGGAGCAGACCCGCAGCTCGCGCCGGAGGGCCAGGCCGGCCACCCCAGAGAAAAGCCATCTGCCGGGCACCGCCGGGAGCACCCTGCGGGCGGGAGACGGGCGCCGGCCCCAGACCTGACCCCGCTGGATTTGAGCGCCAGGTCGAGCCGGGCCGACCCCAGCAGTAAGGACGCGGCCCTCGTCCCTGCAGGCCGCGCTGGTCGTCCACCCGTGTCCTTACTGCGACCACAAGACCTACTACCCGGAGGTCCTGTGGGTGCACAAACGCCTCTGGCACAGGGTCAGCTGCAACTCCATGGCCCCGCAGTGGACTCAGCCCGACGGCCAGCGCAGCCTGAGGAGCAGCCTGGTGTTCCTGGCCCGGAGTGGGCGCACGGGGCCCCCGCCTGCCTTGGGTGGCAAGGAGTGCCAGCCGCTGCTCCTGGCGCGCTTCACCCGCACTCAGGTGCCAGGCGGGGCGCCGGGACCCCGAGGCGGCAGCTCCGCTCCCCTGGCCGCGAGCGTGAGAGCCCCTGGGCCGCCCAAGGGCAAGGAGAGCCACTCCAGCAGCCCCTGTGCGCTGTGGACATCTGGTGCCGACGGCTCTCGACAGACCAGACCCGGCCCTGGCCAGGAGCCCCTGCTGAAACCCAAGCTGGAGGTTGGCTCCAGGCCGGCGCCCGCCCCGGGCAGCGGCGGGAGCCTCAGTGGAAGCGCCACCCCCACGCCCACTGTGATTCCCCGGGTGGGCGCCCAGCCCGCGGCCAGCAGCAAGCCACTGGAGAAGTACGGGGCCCCCCCAAGTAAGCACATCGCCCCCGAACCCCTGAAAGCCAAATGCAGCCCTCAGCCTCAGGGTCAGCCTCCCGCGAACGCCGATGGGGGCCCGCCTCTCCCTCCCTGCGAGCCCCCTCTGAAGGCAGCCCAGGAGCTGAGGACGCTGGCCAGCTGTGCCGCGGGGTCCCGGGGGGACGCGGCCGGGGCGCCCCCCGTCCTGCACTCCATCAAGCAGGAGCCGGCCGCCGAGGGCCACGAGAAGCGCCTGGACATCCTCAGCATCTTCAAGACGTACATTCCGCAGGACCTGGCCACGCTGTACCAGGGCTGGGGCGGCGGCCCCGGGCCCGAGCACAGAGGTAAGGCCGCTGCACGCCGGCGCCTCGTCCGCCGGGGGCCCTGCCGTCCCGGGCACCCACCCATCACGAACCCGCGTTGTCCCGAGGTGGCTTCCGTGTGCAGGACCTTGAGATCTCACGCCCCTGATGCCAGCACACAGGAAGCGCGGAGGGGGAAGGGGGTTTCAGGGCTTGGGGGCCCTTTGGAGAGGGGCCCGGCACCCCAGGGTGGCGCCGCCCTGTGGTGGGCACTGGGGTCTCTCTGGGCGTCCCGCTGCTGGGTGGCCTGGGTGTGAAGCGACGCCCTTGGTCAGGATGCTCTCCGCATGGGAGAAGTCCCCGCGGCGTCTGGCTGTTCTCTGCAGGGCCAGCGAGCCCCTGTGAGCTGCTTAGGGTGAGGTGAGCCACGCGGGGCGTGTTCGAGACCTGACGGGGGCAGGGCCGTGTCGCGCCCGTGCGTGCGCTGTGCGGCAGGGATGGCCGGTGGGTTCTCCGGCCAGGCAGCCCCGAGCCTCCCCGTGTGGTTTGCTGTTGAACCGAGGGTGTGCTCGGCCTCTGCTGCCCCTTGCACCTGTGCACCTGCTGTGCCGTGAAGGGAACACGGGTGCACTGCTGGCCCCTGGAGCTGAGCCAGCCGCAGCCCTTCCACCCCGTGTCCTTGGGCCCTGCAGGGTGGGGCTGGAGATGCCCAATGAGTGAGGGGCCTGGCTTGCATTGTCCTGGGCCTGCGGGGCCCTACTGGGGCATGAGTGCCATGCTCCACGGCCTTTCCCTGAGCACACGGGGCTGGGGCATCTGTGCGCCTGCGGCTGCACGCACCATCCAGCTCCCCGCCCACGGAGCGAGCCACGTCACCTGCTCGAGCAGGCCTGTGGGCTGCCGCCCGTGGGCCCCAGCTGCTGCTTTTCCCGAGGTCTTGAGAGTTTCCGCTGGCAACGCGTGACACGTCAAGTAGCCCGCCATGTTTCCTTTTCCTTAGCAGGTGGTTTTCCTCGCTGGTCCTCCGAGCATCTTCCTTAGAGAGAGGGAGGTTGATGTGGCTGTTTCCAGCGTGACCGATGCTGAACGCATCTCCTGTGTTCCCTCGGGTGACGTGTTCTGGACTCACTGGCATGTTTATGGCTTCTGACCTCGTCTTGATGACCTCTGGTCCCCTCATGCCTCTGTTGGGTGCATTTTTGGAATCTCAGTTCCGGGGACCATCCCCCTGGGTTGACGAGCCGAGAAGTGCCGAGTGCCGGGCAGGACTGGCCGCCCGTGTGGACTTGGTGGCTGGCCGATGGGGGTGAGCCGAGAGCCGGACGTTCCTCTGCAGGACGGCCCTGTCCTCCGTCAGACGCCCCTGTTCTCAGCCGTTCCGTGCCGGGTCTCTCCCTGGGCGCTGCGTGTTCGTGGTGTTTGAGCTGGAGGGAGGCCACCCAGGCTGGCTGTCGTCCCCCCGCCTCAGGGAGCTGAGCAGATCGCGTAGACCTGCTGAGCAGGCTGCCAGAGCGCCAGGGCAGGGCCGCGTGGCTGGGCGCGCTGGAGGCCAGGCTGGCTGGGGCGTGGCTTTCCCACGAGTCCCCGCAGCCACCCGCCCTTGGCCTTCGTTGATATCCCATCAGGTCCTGAGGCTTCTTTCGTCGGACGTCAGAGTAGCCTTTGGTTTCACACGGGTTGACCGGTTCCTTGCAGATCTGCCCCGCACATGTGCTGAGGCCGCCTGCAGGACCAAGGACCACAGCCTCTTCCCTCGGGCCGGCCCTGACCCCACACGTCCTGCAGTCAGGACAGATGAGCGTTGTCTAGAACAGTCAGCCGTCCGCCGTGTGCAGGGAGCGGTCGCGGTGCTGGACGCGTGACGGATTTTGCAGTGGGCTTGTTCGGTTTGTAGAGAACGTGGCTGCGAGCCGGCCCCGGGACACCAAATGTCATCCCGAGGGGAAGAGAGATACAGCTCGGGAGCTTTCCCCACCGTGTGGGGCCGCACAGTGTGTCTGTCGGAAGGAGTTGTCCAGAAACTCTCGGGCCAGGAAGGCAGCCCTGGGACCCCCACACCCACCCTCCGGGAGCAGCCTGCACTTGGTGTGCTCTGGTGCGGCGTGGCGACCGAGCTAGACGCCTGGCCAGGGCCCGAGTGCCTTGTGGCCACAGCCAGCTTCTCGCGTCATCAGTTGTCCGTGGTCCCGGACTCTGCAGCCCGCGTGGATCACAGGGTAGTATGGATTTTAAAGTAAATGGGAAATAATGGGATTGGTGATTCTGGATTAACTGCCTGTCAGTTTCCTTACTGGGAGCATAAGGCAGTCCCCTAGACCAAGGGTGCATAGTCCCTTAGACCAAGGGTGCATAGTCCCCTAGACCAAGGGTGCATGGTCCCCTAGACCAAGGGTGCATAGTCCCCTAGACCAAGGGTGCGTAGTCCCTTAGACCAAGGGTGCATAGTCCCCTAGACCAAGGGTGCGTAGTCCCTTAGACCAAGGGTGCATAGTCCCCTAGACCAAGGGTGCATAGTCCCCTAGACCAAGGGTGCATAGTCCCCTAGACCAAGGGTGCGTAGTCCCTTAGACCAAGGGTGCGTAGTCCCTTAGACCAAGGGTGCATAGTCCCCTAGACCAAGGGTGCATGGTCCCCTAGACCAAGGGTGCATGGTCCCCTAGACCAAGGGTGCATGGTCCCCTAGACCAAGGGTGCGTAGTCCCCTAGACCAAGGGTGCGTAGTCCCCTAGACCAAGGGTGCATAGACCCCTAGACCAAGGGTGCATAGTCCCCTAGACCAAGGGTGCATAGTCCCCTAGACCAAGGGTGCGTAGTCCCCTAGACCAAGGGTGTGTAGTCCCCTAGACCAAAGGGTGCGTAGTCCCCTAGACCAAAGGGTGCATAGTCCCCTAGACCAAGGGTGCGTAGTCCCCTAGACCAAGGGTGCGTAGTCCCCTAGACCAAGGGTGCGTAGTCCCCTAGACCAAGGGTGCGTAGTCCCCTAGACCAAGGGTGCATGGTCCCCTTGACCAAGGGTGCGTTAGTGTGGTAGCAGTTACGTCTGCTGTTCACGCGTCTTTTTCGGCTCCCCGTTCTCCCTGTGGGAGGGGGGGCGCAGTTTAATTCAGCGGAGGGTGGCGGGCTGGCGAGCCTCCCTCCCAGGCACTTTCTGTAGACAACCTGGGTTCTGGGAGCAGGTGCCGGAGCCATTTGCACACACGGTCGTCTCCAAGCACAAGTACGTTTATGGCCATGGTGATGAGCTCAGAACGTTGGAGTAGATGAGGCATAATGTTGCCTGCCAAGGGAGGGAATCCTCTCTTTAGAAAGAGGAGAGAAAGCGTGATGGTCAAACGCATGGGACCCTGTGTGTGTGTGCGTGCGTGTACGCACGCGTGCTGACACGCGCTGCCCTGAAGGAGTGAGCCTTCTGATAGGAAGCAGCAGGTCAGGGTTCCTGAGAAGGGTGTTGTCTGCATGCTTGGAAGCCCGCACAGCCTGGCCCTCGCCGCGAGGGGGCGGCACCGGTGCGTCCACACTTCGCGCCCCAGCCGCCCTGGGAGGTGCGGAGGGTCCCAGTGTCTGGGCTGTTTCATGGGGGCGGGGCTGCATGGTTCTCCCGGTGGCGTGAGCGGACCAAGGTGGCTTTGGATGTTGAGGTTTTCCCGGGCAGAATTCCGAGGAGGAAAGCTGTCCCTGAAAGGTTAAATGGCAGCCGTTGGATGGCAGCGGACCTGCGGGCATGAGCCTTCCGGGCCGCTGGGTGGGCTCCCTCCCGGCCGCGGCTGTGCCGCGCGTCCAGGGCCAGGCCCCACGCTGCCTTTCCCTCCTGCTGCTGTGTGGCTGGACGCCGTGGTTCCGCGCGGGTTCCGGGCAGCAGCCCCGTGTCGCACGCCACGTCTGCAGGTAGACGCCCCTCGCAGGGCCCGGCTGCTCACTCCGGTTTATGTGCTCAGCCTCCTGGGTGCCTTCGCTGCCTGTGCTGCCGGCATCCTAGCCCCCCGAGTCCTGCCCGGACTGCAGCTTCGGGGTGTGGGGACAGTGTGGCCCATGGGTCACCGGGGCACCTGCCGTGGACGGGGGCGTCTGTGGCTTTCGTGAGTGACTGAGGGTTGAGCGTCGGCTCACACTTGTCTCCTTTGTGGGGCCCCGAGGGCTCACTGGGCGGGCCAGCATTGCCTCGCAGTCCACGCTCCTCGCTGTGGTAAATCACGCGTGTCCTTGTGCCCTTGACTGTGGCACAGGCGTGATCTCAGGCCGCTGTCCTCTGCGGAGCCATCCTGAGTCGGGGCCTCTGGGTGTCCATCACACACCAGGCCTGACACCCGCTCAGCCAGGGAGCGGCTGCACGTGTGGCTCTGTCTCCTTCTCCCCGTGGGGTGACCCCCCGAGCCCGACGGGGAGGTGGTGTCGGCACTGCTGTGACGTGAAAGGGGAGCTTCTTCTTGCCTGCCCGGGGGAAGGTTCTGGAGCTACAGGGGGATGCAGGCCCAGCATCCACGCCCCCTCTGTCCCTTTCCTCGCTCTCTGGAAGCCCAGGGCTTGGCGTCTGGTGAGGGGAGCAGCCTGGTGTGGTACCCATGCCACTGCTGTGGTATAGTGCGTGCATCCGCCGGGGGCTGCTGGTGTCACTAGCTCCCCAGGGGGCGGGTCACAGGTGTCCCCAGGCTGAGTCTGGTACGGGCGCTGCAGGCAGAGCCGTGGGGACAGCAGGTGGGGCGGGGGGCCCGGCCAAGGGCTGTGCTCACTCCATGCCGTCTCCTGGGACCCAGCTGGGCACGGCCGGCTCTGATCCCGCTCACTTCCCACGCGCCTGCCGCTGGCACAGTGGTGGCACTGTGGTTTGGCCGACATGCTGCCTGACAGAGCCGGGTGGCGGCCTGAGCCTGTCGTGGGGGGCGGGTGTGAGTTCGCTGTAATCTATGCGTCCTTGCGGTCCTGGGCGAGCCCGGCCCGAGAGCTGGCGCCCAGGTGAAGGCTGGCAGTTGTCATGGGCCTGGCGGCGTCCTCACACGGCGATGCGTCAGACAGACTAACGGTGTTTTCTCTCGTCCTCCCCTCCTCCCCCGCACACCTCCCGGCCACGGCCACGCTGTGCTGCTCCCCGGCGCCACCTCCACCGCAGGGACGCTCCGGCCGCAGGCGCGCCCCGGGGACTTCGTCTGTGTCGAGTGCGGGAAGACCTTCCACCAGCCCAGCCACCTCAGGGCGCACATGCGGGCGCACACAGGTATTGCCACCGCCGGGGTGGGCCCCACGCTCGGGGACACGGGGAGGGGGACACAGAGACTTGAGCCCCTGGCCAGGCGCAGCACTGCCCACTGTGGCTCCTGTGGCCCAGCTCCCCTGGGCTGAGTGCCTGAGGTTGCAGCCAGATGAGCCTGTTTGCCGAAGCTCCCTCAGTCAGATGAGGAAGGAGCGGGTGCCCATGCCGCTGGCACCGCACAGCGGAACCTGCGCCTGCCTGGCATCCCCTGGGACCCGCCTGGCCCTGGGCTAGCCTCAGACCTCTCCGGACAGAGGGTGGCCCTCTGCAGAGGCCCTGGCTCTCCCTCATGAGGCTGAGTGCTGTGTGCCAGGGTGCCATGGGCACGCTGCGGAGACGGGCAGCAGCCGGGGTGCTCACGAGAGGCCTGATGGGCGTACGCGTGGGCTGGGCTGGTGCAGAGAGACACGGGCCCCGTGGAAAGTAGCGTGGGAAGAGGTCCCGCTGCCTCTGGTCCTTAATGCTGTCAGCTGAGTGAGGAAGGGCGCGCCCCAGGCCACCACGGCCACCGCCCCCCACGGTAAGTGTGACGGGAGAGCAGCTTACCCCAGCACGGGCCGGGACCTGGCCTTCCTCGTCCCCGTCTGTCACGGACACCCTTGAGGTGCAGGTGCTGCCCCCTGAGCCAGGCCCTGCTCCCGCGGCCTCGGGGACTCTGGTGCCCACCGAACTGCTCCCCGCAAGCCCCCAGACACAGGCGGCGTGTTCTTCCAGATGTGTGAATGATTCTCCGTCGCCCTGACTCTGCCCAGCCCCCACGCAGCCTGCGGGAGCCCCAGAGGGGGCGGCCGTGCCCAGCCCTCACGCAGCCTGCGGGAGCCCTGGAGGGGGCGGCTGTGCCCAGCCCCCACGCAGCCTGCCGGAGCCCCGGAGAGCGCGGCCGTCCCAGATGTGAGCATGGGGAAGTGGGCACAGGCGGTGGCTGTTGGTGGTGCCGGGCGAGGCGCTGCTGGGGCGCTTCGGCACCGGCGGTGACTTGCAGGAGTGTTTCCAGGAGGACCTGGGGTGACCGTTTGCCTAAGGCCCAGGCACGCTTTCCCTCCTTAATGGCGTGTAAGAGACGTTTCCCACCTGTGCACCTGGCTTCACAGGTGCCCGTGGTGTCCCGGGGACATGCACGACCTGGGGCCCCTCTCCCGGAGTCTGGCTCTCTGCACGTGGCGGCTTCTCCCCTGCGGCCGCGGCACAGTCCCTGCCGCTGCCCGCTCCACCCCCCGGGGAGGCACTTCCTTGTCCCCCCTCCCCGCCCCCCGCAAAGCTGAGTCCTCCGAGGGGTGGGACCCGGTCAGCCCGCCCCCTCCTGGCGGCTCTTCCCCTGCTGGACTCCTGGTTGTTGAAGGGACACAGAGTCGCTGTGCCCTGCGAGAGTTGAGAACTGCGTGGTCCCTGTCACGTGGGGCCAGGGCCTGCCATGCGTCAGCGAGCGAGCCAAGTGCCGGAGGAGCCCCGCGTATCTGTTGTTGGGGTCCCACACTGTCCATCTTACCGGGTCAGGGTTTGTCCATTGGGAAATGCCCTGTCTTCCTCTCTGCTGGACAGATGCTTTGGCACATGGCAGTTTCACTGAGCCGCTCTGTCTCTCCCAGAACGTCAGGACCTACCTGGTGGCACTATGGCCCTTGGTGACGGAGAGGCGAAGCCTTGCCAATGCTTAGCTGGGACATTTCCAGGATCCGTGGCTCTGCTCCGGCTCCGGCACGGCCCCTTGAACGGAAGTAGATCTGCCACGCCCTGGGGGTGTTCCCCAGGCATGACTGGGGGGGGTGCTGAAGACTGCAGGGGACTCGGGGCGTGGCTGTGTACACGGGACCCCGGCTTTGGGGTCAGCATGTTTGGGGGGGGCGGCAGCCCTGGCTGCCCTGTGGAGAGTGGAGGTCTCACTTACTGCACGTGAATTCCACCTGCACTCGTGAAAATCCCTGGCAGAGAGGCAGGGAGACAAGGAGACTGGAGGACACGTCACATGGCCATTGGGGTCTCCCTGGAGACACGGGACAGTGTCACTCTCAGTCCTGAGGACACTTCGTTCATGCTGTTGTCCTCTGACGTCTACCCGCTTCTAGTCTCAGTCCCCACTCAGCGACGCCCCACTGGCTGCTGGGAGAATCTGCAGTCTCAGGCCCCCTCCCCACTCAGCGACGCCCCACTGACTGCTGGGAGAGTCTGCGGTCTCAGGTCCCCTCCCCCCTCAGCGACGCCCCACTGACTGCTGGGAGGGTCTGCAGTCTCAGGTCCCCTCCCCACTCAGCGACACCCCACTGACTGCTGGGAGGGTCTGCAGTCTCAGGTCCCCTCCCCACTCAGCGATGCCCCACTGACTGCTGGGAGGGTCTGCAGTCTCAGGTCCCCTCCCCACTCAGCGACGCCCCACTGACTGCTGGGAGGGTCTGCAGTCTCAGGTCCCCTCCCCACTCAGGGACGCCCCACTGGCTGCTGGGAGGGTCTGCAGTCAGCCCCGCCCAGCACCCAGCTGACTGCTGGGAGAGAGTCTCTGGGGTCATCCGGCTCCTTGCCTGCCTAGCTCGGATTTGTGCCTCTCCTCAGAGCCACTGGTTTCTTGGACTCCAGGTTGGAGACCTTGGCCTCCCACAGCTCCTCCCACCTTTGTTGCGAGGGAAGTGGCTGTGTGGATTTGTCACTGGGAGTTCGGATTCTTTAAGGACGTTGTGGTCTCCTTGACGTGTCTTGGGGTGACAGCTTAAGAATCCCGTAGCGTTGGCCAGAATCAGAGATACGTCAGGAACAGGCAGGAGCTTGGCTCTGCGGGGGCTTCTGTCCTGTCCTGTCCTGTCCTCTGCATTGTTTGTACAAAGTCACAGTTGACACTTTTTTTTTTTTAGATTGATTGATTGATTTGAAAGGCTTACTGATGGAGAGAGGGAAAGAGAGAGATCTGCCATCCGCTGGTTCACTCCACAAATGGCCGCAAGGGCCAGGGCTGGGCCAGACCGAAGCCAGGAGCCAGGAGCTTCATCCGGGTCTCACACACTGGTGCAGGAGCCCAAGGACTTGGGTCATCTTCCACTGCTTCCCTGGGCACAGCAGGGAAGTGGATCAGAAGTAGAGCAGCTGGGATTCGAACTGGCGCCCACACAGGCTGCTGGCTGCTGGTGTGGTGGTGGCTTAACCCACTGCACCGCACAGCGGCCCCTGGCAGTCGGCGGTGTTTCGTGTGGGATGTTACGGATCTGCGGGGGCATGTTCTGTCACTATGTGTGCCTAGTGTGTAGCTCTTTCTGTTTATCACCCGTGTTCTTTTCGTGTCCAGCATGAGCAAATTAACACTTAAATCAGGTTCTCCCCCTGTGGGCAGCAGCTGTCGCTCGTGGGCTGTTTCTGGATCCTGCGAAGCTTTGTGTTCACACAGAAGCTGTTTGCTAAGAAAAAGTCACCGAGCTCTTGCCGTGCACATAGTAGATGCTAAATTAACTGAGTGGAGCTGTGTTTGGGAGTTGGGCTTTCCAGCTGTCATTCCCGCACTGGGCACGGGGTACCGGGCACCCGCCCTTGGCGGGGTCCTGAGGGGCCAGGGCCAACTCTGCCCGCCCCCGTGTCTGCCTGGCCAGGGGCGATTGAGGAAAGGGGTGCATGCCCGCCCCACACTGCGGTGTCGGTGTCTGGGAGACCCTGCTGGGGTGGAGGAAGATTGTCTGGGAAGGAGCCCGCAGGGAAAGAGCTGGAGGTGGGAGAGCGGGCGCCGTCAGGGGAGCCCGGCGGACGTGTGCTTCCGTAGCTCTCGGCCCATCTGGTTGGAGAGATGGTTGTTGGGTCGTTAAAGGGGGTGCAGGCAAGCCGTGAGAAAGGCTGCGTCAGCGTGTGTGGGGTTTCCTTGTTCTCTGTCCAGAAGGCCTTTGGCTGGTGGGGTCATTGTGTGTATCAGTGCTTGAAAATGTTTGTGGGAAGATGGAGTTAAAAGGTGATAAGTTTATTTTGTGCAAAAAATGTTTGTATGCGTGTATAACCTCCCCTCATGTGTGTGCACAGGAACCACCCGGGTGCCCCAAGCCCCACGTTGCCATTATTAGTGTTACACTTCCTGTCCGGGTGATGCCGGCCAGCCCCCCCACCCCCACCCCCACCCCCAGGCCTGATGCAGTCCGGCAGGTCTGGGGCCGCTTTGTTCCTCCGGGGTCCGCACACGGGAACTGAGGAGCCCAGCCCTCTCCTCTGCCGCACTGCTGGAGCTGCTGCTGTCTGTGGGTGGGGGTGTGGGCTGGTGGCCCAGGGTCCACAGCAGGGAGCCCTGGCCCCCGTGCCTTGCACACCTGCTGTGAGCCCTGGAGAAGGGTGAGAGGCGGACGCGTTAGCCTGCGTGGAGAATCCGCTCGGTCAGGACACCCCAGTTGGGCTGGCTGTGTTTTTGGTGACAGCTCTGATGCCAGAGATGGATGACGCCCCAAGCCGAGTTCTGAGTGACAGGGGGAGCTCCCGCAGTCGTTCAGAGTGGCCTGGCGGGCGGGACACCCGCATCCCACGTGCCTGGTGGGCGGGACACCCACATCCCACGTGCCTGGCGGGCGGGACACCCACATCCCACGTGCCTGGTGGGCAGGACACCCACTTCCCACGTGCCTCGCGGGCGGGGCAGCCACATCCCACGTGCCTGGCGGGCGGGACACCCACATCCCACGTGCCTGGTGGGCGGGGCAGCCACATCCCACGTGCCTGGCGGGCAGGACACCCACATCCCACGTGCCTGGTGGGCGGGGCAGCCACATCCCACGTGCCTGGCGGGCGGGACACCCACATCCCACGTGCCTGGTGGGCGGGGCAGCCACATCCCACGTGCCTGGCGGGTGGGACACCCACATCGCCTGGTGGGGCCCTGGCTCCTGACTCCAGCGCTGGCCACTACAGATGCCGGGAGGCCACTGAGATGGCCGTGGCACTCGGGTCCCTGTCACCCACGTGGGAGTCCTGGATGGAGTCCCTGGCTCCTGACGTGGGTCCAGCATATTTCTGTCTGCTGTGGGAGTTTTGGGGGTGATTCAACAGGTGGTAGATTTCTTTATTTAAAAAAAATGTTTAGTCTCTAGTAATCATTAATACTCATAACCAGAGAGGAAGTTTTTTGAAAATAATATGCTGAATGTGTTTTACTGCCCTGTGCATTTTGCAGAAACACTGGAAGGTTTGCTTAATGTGAGAAATTGTTGTTTCTGTCAGGTTGTTGTCAAAAGTCAGATGTTAAAATAACTTTTGAGGGGCCAGCGCTGGGGGATAGCGGGTGGAGCCGTTGCCTGCAGTGCCAGCGTCCGGTATGAGCGCTGGTTCATGTCCTGGCTTCACTGCTTTGGATCCAGCTTCCTGCTATGGCCTGGGAAGGCAGTGGAGGATGGCCCAGGTGCGTGGGCCCCTGCACCCACGTGCAAGACCCAGAAGAAGCTCCTGGTTCCTGGCTTCAAATCTACCCAGCTCTGGGTATTGCAGCCTTTTGGGGAGTGAACCAGCGAGTGGAATACCTCTCTGTCTCTCTCTGCCTTTCAACTTTCAAATAAATAAATAGATAGATAAACAGATAAATAAATAAATAAATTTAAAAACAATGATTTCTGAAACCAAGAAAAACCATTCCCTGCCCGATTTTGGGACTCCCGTATTCTGGTTTGTTTGGCTCCTTTGCCGGCAGGTAAAGATTAATCGTTTATTTCTCATTATTCCAAATGCTATTTTAAAATAGTTAAGCTGGAGAAATAATTCCATTAATCAAAACAATAGGAAATGAAAAAAACAATGGCAGCCTAACCTGTCCCGGTTTTGGCTGTGGGCGTCCCCGCGTCAAGCGCTCGGCGCTGCGCACGCCTGTCTGCCGTGTCCCGGGTCCGGTTCCGTCCCCTCGTTCAGGATTTTCTTTCTGGTAGCAGAGCAGGCACCGTGGAGCGTGTTCCCTGTTTGCCCTGAGTAGGAGGTGCAGCGAAAGCAACTGCAGCCCCGACCCAGCCTCGCCCTGACCACGCTGGGCGGGCGGGCGGGCGGGCGGTGGAGGGCCCGCGCCCTCAGGGAAAACAGCTCGCCTGGCCCCTTTGGAAGCCGAGGCTGCCCCTGTGTCCTGGGAGATGGAGGTCTCTGTGCACGAGCCGGGCCTGTCGTGGGTGGCTGGGTGCAGGCCGCCAACTTCGATGCAGGAGGCGATTGAGGAGACGTGGGAGAGGTTGGTAGAGGTGCAGGATTTATCTGCACGCGGGCGCTCCAGCAAGAGGTAGGCCCGCTCTGGACAGCTGTGCTGGACGAGGGTCAGCCCACGTCTGCCCGGGAAACGGAGGCACAGGCCGTGGGGTCCGGGTGGCACTGAATTCTCGAGGGGCTGGAGTTTGGGCTGAGGCTTCACTACCACCTGTTTCCTTGCCCTTGCTGGAGAACTCGGAAGTGTCCTGGGTCAGCCGTGGTAGGACAAGGTCGTGGGGATGCAGCTGGCGGCCCCTTGGTCATCTTTGGGCAATGCCAGTGCTTAGCCGTGAAAGCCCGGGAAGCTACGGCTTCCTGTGGGAAGGGGGCGGGGAGTGCTGGGGTGGCGGAGGTGGGGCCTCAGGCCCTCCCTACCCACCCCCTCCCAGGTTCTGCCCCTCCACACCTGGGAGTCGGCCATGTCAAGTGGAGCCCTGAGTGAAGGAAGAGAGGGTTACGGTGGGGGCTCACAGTTCATGGAGGGGTGCAGGAGGGGGTGGGGCCCACAATTCATGGTGGGGTGCGGGTGGGGGTTCCACAGTTCACAGCAGGGGTGCAGGAGGAGGGGCTCACAGTTCACAGCAGGGGTGCAGGCGAGGGTTCCACAGTTCTCAGCAGGGGTGCGGGTGGGGGTTCCACAGTTCACAGCAGGGGTGCAGGCGAGGGTTCCACAGTTCGTAGCAGGGGTGCAGGAGGAGGGGCTCACAGTTCACAGCAGGGGTGCAGGCGGGGGTTCCACAGTTCACAGCAGGGGTGTGGGGGGGCCCACAGTTCACCGTGGGGGGTGCGGGCGGGGGTGGGGCCCACAGTTCACGGTGGGGGGGTGCAGGCGGGGGTTCCACAGTTCACAGCAGGGGTGTGGGGGGGCCCACAGTTCACCGTGGGGGGTGCGGGCGGGGGTTCCATAGTTCACAGCAGGGGTGCAGGCGGGGGTTCCACAGTTCACAGCAGGGGTGCAGGCGGGGTTCCACAGTTTGCAGCAGGGGTGTGGGGGGGCCCACAGTTCACGGTGGGGGGTGCGGGCGGGGCCACGTTTTCCAAGCGCAGGCTTTTAATGTTTGTTCTTCCTTGTAGGAGGAGAAGGCGGCTTACGTGTGCTCTGTTTTGCCTCCTTAAGGATTATCTTTTTATTTATTTAAAGGGAGACAGATCTTCTGTCTGCTGGTTCACTCCCCAAAATGGCTGCAACTGCGAGGGCTGGACCAGGCCAACCAGGCGTAGCCTGGAACCCCTCCAGGTCTCCGCCGTGGGTGGCCGGGAGCCAGGCGCTTGCCCTGGGCCATCTGCTGCTGCTTTCTCAGGTGCATTAGCAGGGAGCCGGACCAGAAGTGGAACGGCCGGCGCTAGAACCTGGCCTGGGCTCTGACGTGGCACGTGGCGTCGCAGGCTGCCGGTCAGCCTGCTGGGCCACAGTGCCGTGCGTCTTTTCTCCCGTCTTGTTTGTTTCATATGGCTGCTGTGTGGAGTCATTGAAGCATAGTCCACAGATCAGTCATTTAAAACGACACTCTTAGTAAGGAGGCCTGAGAGCCCAGGGCTGCATCGGGATCGTGCGCACAGATGCACGCCCAGTTGCTTGGGCTATCTGGACTTCACAAGTCATTCTGAACCAAACGTTAAAACCCTGCTGAGCCACGCAGCCGAACACTTCAGTCCTTTACGGAGAGAAGGCCACGTTCCGTCCCCTCTGCACGGGGTCTTTTTTATTTTTAATTTATTTGACAGAGTTAGAGAGAGAGAGAGAGAGACAGAGAGAAAGGTCTCCCTTCCATTGGTTCACTCCCCAAATGGCCGCTATGGCCGGCGCACTGCGGCGATCCAAAGCCAGGAGCCAGGTGCTTCTCCCTGGTCTCCCATGTGGGTGCAGAGCCCAAGTACTTGGGCCATCCTCCACTGCCTTCCCGGGCCACAGCAGAGAGCTGGCCTGGAAGAGGAGCAACCGGGACAGAACCCGGCGCCCATGTGGGATGCCGGCACTGCAGGCGGAGGATTAACCAAGTGAGCCACGGCGCCGGCCCCTGCACGGGGTCTTTAGGCTCCTTGTCTGCCAACGCCAAACAAGAGCTGGCAGGTGCACCACCCGGGGTGCAGTGTAGCCACGCAGGGCCCCGTGCTTTCCCGGCATGGAGCCACTGGCGAGCCCGACCCCCACACAGGTGCTCTGGAGACCCTGACGCCCAGTCTCCCCTGCGGGAACACAGGCTGTGCGCCCAGGGAGCCCTGTGGTGCAAGTCCTCGGCATGGAGCCCTCAGGCTCGCCGGGGACTTTGTCCATTGACTGCCGGGGTTGGGGGTGGGTGCCACCTGCACGTTCCTCCCTCCGCTGCCGTTTCCCAGGTGTGGGGAACCTGCTGTCCGCACCCTGCACGCCCAGCCCCTCAGGTTGAGTTGGTGTCCTCCTGACGTCTGCTCCGGTCCTCTGGCTGCTGCCGTGCGGCTGGCTGGTCTGGCGCAGGAGTGTTCTGAGGCTGTCAGCTGGAGAGGAGACTTAATGCATGCCGGCAGCCAGACCTTTGCCCCTCCATGCTGGGGTCCTGTGGGCAGAGCTGGAAGCCGGGGCTGGCCTGCGGGCATGCACGCGCGTTTCCAGCGGTTAGCTGGAGGCTGATGCGGTGAAGTGGGGTTCATCTTGCCCTGTGCGTTTTTTCTGCCCCTGGACTGTAAATGCCATTTCAGACAGCGATGCTCCAAATGCCCATTGCAGGCATTCTCTAAGAGCTGCGGGCACACACAACACGCTCGTGTTTCTCCTGCAGCTCGCTCGGCTCGAGAAGACCCGCCTTTCATATACATAAAGGATTTATTTATTTATTTATTTAGAGTTACAGAGAGAGAGTTTCCAGCCACTGTTCACTCCCTAGATGGCCACAGTGGCCAGAGCTGGGCCAGGCCGAAACCAGGAGCCAGGAGCTGCTTCCACGCATCAGTGGCAGGGGCCCACGGGTGGGCCACGCTCTGCTGCTTTTCCCAGACCATCAGCAGGGAGCTGGATGGGAGGTGGGGTAGCCGGGCCCTGAACCGGTGCCCATATGGGATGCCAGAGCAGGTGGTCTTGGTAATTCTTTAGGGTCCTTGGTGAGAGCTTTCTCAGGGTCTGGCCAACCCAGGCAGGCGGGAGCTGTGCGTTCTCCTCTGAGGCCCCAGATGTGCCTTGTTGTGGAACTGTCATTCATTTGTAAATCCGCCTTGTAGGGTGGACTCTCGCCTTTCCCTCTCCTCCCCTAACCCCTGGTGCGTCTTTCAACCTCTTGGGCTGACGCAGACGCTGTGGTTCATGCAGATATAAAATGAGCCCCGGCCGAGTCAGGGGCACTGTGGCTGCGAGGGAGCTTGCTCTGTGATGGGGATGGGTGGAGGTTGCTAAGAGACTCAGCAGGGCAGAGGCCCTCGGGGACATGAGGCAGAAGTGACGCTCTGTTGTTTCTCACGCAGGGGAGAGACCATTGTAACCCAGGTACTGCCCAGACCGTGCCTCTCAGAGAGGGAGCCTAGACGCCGCCTCCAGCCCCCGCCCGGACGCCGCCACTTCCTGTGAGATCAGCTGGCGCAGCCCCCCGCACCCTGCGGCTCGGGAGCCCGGGCGGTGCCCCTCCCTGTCCTGCCGATGCTGCCCTCTAAGATCCCACGTGGACCCCGCACGTGCTCACGTGCGCACCCCCGACACGTCCCCTGTGTGCGGACGGCAGGCCCCGCGGGAGCCCAGGCGTCGGTGTCACTCAAGAAGAGTTTGAGACACTGGAGGAAGAGTTGTCACGTGTGCTGGACAGAGTGGACAGGCTGAGGTGCTTCCCGGCCGCTCAGCGGGATGCCCTTGGTGGCGCCAGGGTGACGAAGCGTCCCTACCTCCGGCTCTCCTGTCTCCGGGCGTTGAAGAGGGTCGGAGGGGGAGGACGTGGGCTCAGGTGCTGTGGGAGCCAGGCTGGTGGCCAGGGGCCGCTGACAGACCCAGCGGTGCAGCGGTCGCCCGCTCGGGGCGTCCCGCGCTCGCGGCCAGTGGTGCTGAGCGAGGCCGGCCGAGGAGGCTTCTCCGGCCTGGGGCTGTGTGTTTCTGCTTCGGAAAGGGAGGCTAGTTGAACACTAAAAAAAAAAAACAAAACAAGACAAAAAAAAAAAAAAAAAAAAGAAAAAACAACAAAAAAAGCGGCTTCTTTGTTTATTCTCAGGACCTTTTGTAACAGGGCTACATTCTGCAAACTGCTCACCAAGGAAGACCACGCCTCCGGGCGTCCTCCCGCGGCAGCGGCTGTGGTCAGGGCCCAGGCGTCTGGGAGCCCGCGGGCCCGGGGTCGCTGGGGTGCTGGTGGTCCGGGCCCTCTGCCCCCGCCTGGCTGTCCCCGCCCGGGGCCGGCTTTATATACCTCTTCCTCAGTAGTGCAGACGGTGCCGCCCCCCGCCGAAGCAGGCGTCTCCTCCCGTCGCCGTGACTCTGTGATGGTCACGTTGCTGAGTTTCGGATCTTTGCACATACGATTATATGCATTATCGAAAGTTACTGCTGCCTTGAATGGAAACGTTCTGTGAAATTTTTTGCAAAAGCTTTACTAGGTTTTTTTTTAATTGTGAAATTTTGTAAAGGCAGGAAATGGATTAAAACGAGCATGCTAAATATATTTTTCAAAAAAGCAATAATTTTACATGTACAGAAATTATCCTAACCTTTACTATTGGTGAGAGCAACAGTTTACTTACTACAGCAATTAGTGCAGATTTTGTAGAAAATGGGCTTCTGATACAAAGACTTCTTTAAAACACACACACACACCCTGTTCTAATGTTTTGTTGAATTATTATTATTATTATAATATTATTATTATTGTAATTGTTATTAGTTCACGTTTGGTTCTGGACTCTACTTGTTACTGAATTTAAATTACTTGACGGTTCAGGCTACTTCGCAGCGGGTGCAGGCGATGCAGTGTAACCGGCTAGCGTATATATATAAATATATATTATTTTTTTTACTTACTCCCTGGTGTGCTCACACCAGATGTGTACGAGGTTGACCTGGCACGTCGCTGTCCCCAGGAGCGCCCGTGCAGGTGCCGTCCCGCGACTGTACCCGCCCTGTGACGTTGTGTTCAGCAAGTCACAGACCCATTCCTCCGGGCACCTCGGAAGGCAGGCCACCTTTCTGTCCACGTATGTCTCGTCGTCACAGTGGTGTCCCCACAGTGATCATTTCTGCGTTTCCTGGCTCCTGTTTTGTCGGCTGAAAGTAACTGGTGCCAGTTAGGGGTGTGCGGGGACTGGTGACTCGGTCCTGTCCGTTTCTCTGTGTTTTAGTTATTAAAGGAACTCATGTACCCAAAGGGACACCACGGTGTCGTCTGCGTCCTTGCTGTCGGCATTCAGAGCTGGAGCTGGCCTTCTTCCTGGCGGGGAGGGAGGGCTGCCCACTAGGGTCTCCGCCCCCGCTGGCACAGCGGTTGCACCTGGTGTGTTGGCCTGCGGGGGGCGGGATGCACCTGCGGGCACCTGCGGGCCTGGGGGCGCCCCTTCCTTCCGCTGGTCACCAGTGTGCATTCCGTTGTTCATTCGTTCATGTCAGTTCAACCATGGTATTTAATATGATTTGTGTTTTCTTATTTATTTAGCCACTATGCTTGGATTCGCTTCCTCCGACGTTCTACTACCTCTGCTGTTCGCTTGTTTCCTAACAGGAATTTTACAATGTTGCGTCTAATGTAACTCAGACAATAAAGGGTTTGGTTGCCTACACCCACCGCAGCTTCTCTGTGCGTCTGCCCCGCCCGCCCCGCCCCGCCCCGCCTGTGTGCCTGCTGCTCTGGCCCGGCTGGCGCCTCCCCGGCTTCACTCCCGCCTGGCCCGCCTTCTCTCGCTCTCGCTCCTCTTCCCCGCGCACCCTTCTTCGTGTGTGATTTCGGAAAACACGTGCTGACCGGCTTCTGCAGGTCCTTTGGTTTATGACTTGTGTCCCTCCACTTGAAGAAGGCACCTTTAAGCTCTCTGACACAATCTCCTCCCGGGGGTGGGGGGGCAGCTCCGCAGTCCTAGAGGACAGGGGTGGGGTGGGATGGGGTGGGGACGGGGGTGGGCGTCACCCTGTTCAACACACCACCTCTTGCAAGCCGGGTGGGGTTGCCTTTTCATTTCTGAACAGCATTTCAAGAGGCTCCCCCAAGTCTGACGTGAGTTTCCTGCTGACAAGGTGCTCAGGAGATGGTGGACGGAAGGGGCCTGGCGAGCAGAGGGCCGGTGCTTCCCCAGGGGCCCTGTGGGCCAGCAGGATTTGGCCTGTGTGGCCCCCATGCTCAGGCCTGGGGCAGTGTGGCGTGGGTTGGACTTCACAGCCGGTGGACAGCACCTGTTACCGCTCTGCTGCCTCCCCAGGGAGCCCTGCGCTCTTGCCCTTTCATCCCCCTAGGCCACTGGGCTTGGTTCTCAGGGGGTGGGGGAGGCAGCACCTCCTGGTGGCCGCCCTGAGGCAGGTGGCACGTGGAGACTGTGGCGGGGCGGGGGTGGGGAGGGCCACCTTCCGCCAGCATTTCCTGACCTCGCTGAACGTCGAGTAGTGTGTGTGGTTTGGTTGCTTTTCAACTGTGGTGAAACGAGGGTGCAGGGCCCAAGCACTTGGGCCACCCTCCACTGCCCTCCCGGGCCACAGCAGAGAGCTGGCCTGGAAGAGGGGCCACTGGGACAGAACCGGCGCCCCAAACGGGATTAGAACTGCGGGGTGCTGGCGCCACCGGCGGAGGATTAGCCTAGTGAGCCGCGGCACTGGCCGAGCACCCTGGAGTTCTGAGGTCTGTAAGAGGTCACCCTATTCTGAGGGTGGTTTAAATGGCTGCACAGCCTGTCCTCACCTGCATCACCTGTGCGTGGTCACTGGTGTGTGTTAATGCTCTGTTGTTAATGCCGGCGTGAGAGAGTGAAGATGGCTCCCGGCAGAGTGCCTCCAGAGTGGCCACAGTGTTTCTTCAAACTTTTCTTTTTTGAAAAACAACAAAAAGGATTGATTGATTTATATGGAAGAATGACACAGACACACACACACACAGAGCTTCCATCTGCTGGTTCACTCCCCCGATGGCCACAACAACCATGGCTGGGCCAGGCTGAAGTCAGGAGCCAAGAGCGCCATCTGAGTCTCCCAGGTGGGTGGCAGGGACACCGATCCTTGGGCCGTCTGCTGCCCCCAGGTGTGTTAGCAGGGGCTGGGTCAGACGCAGAGTAGCTGGGACTTGGGCCAGTGCTCCGGGAAGGGATGCAGGCATCCCCAAGCTGTGGCTTTGCCCACTGTCCCACAACACCCCTGTCCTTCCAGGCCTGTGGGATCCTGGGGTTCATGCTTCATTTTAATGGCTGGTGACTTTTCCTCCTTTTCCCCCACTGAACACGCATGCTGGTCTCAGTCCGGCGCTATAACCCCCGGGCACAGGCAGAGTTAGCCGCCCACACCTGCGGGAAGGTAGTGGGGCTGGTTCAGTGACATCAAGACTTCCGGCTCTGGTGCCGGTGCCGTTTGAGTTAAACAACCACCACCAAAGTTCCAAACGTAGAAGTGCCCGCGTCTCTGCTGGCAGAGAGAAGAGGGGAGGGCGTGAGTTCTCGTGTGGCTTCAGAATGAGTGGGGCAGAAAATGAAGCCATCAGTCCTGCCCCAGCCCGGCTGTGGGTGTCCGGGGAGCTTGCCCCGCCCCTCCGTGCTCTGCGATGCAAATACGGCGTCCAGGATTTCCCCAGTGTGGACAGTGGCACAGGCCTCATCCTAAGTCAGCTGCAGCGGGGACTCGCTGTGGTCAGCTCCCTGTCCCACTGTGCTGGCTCTCAAGGCCAGGGTGCCCGTGCCCGGCAAGGGAGAGACAGAAAACCAAGCGTCCCTCCCCGCCCGTCCCTGGCCCCAGCCCGTGTCTGTCGCTGACCTGGGCAGTTCCTCCCCACGTGTGCCTGCATCTGTGCCCTGCACAAGCGCCATCGCCAGGCCTGGTGTCCTCCCTCCAAGAAAGCAGCTCTCCGTGCTCTCTGGGCCGCCTGGCACAGGGAGGGGAGGGCGGTGGGCATCCTGCCCTCAGCTGCCCGGAGCCTGGCTCTCTGGAAGCAGGAGGAGGACGTGCAGGGGCAGTGCCTGCCGGGCCTCTGTTTGTCCCTGGATCACTCTGGGTGTAAGGACAAGGCCTGGTCCATGCCGGGCACACACGCGCCCCTCAGCATGCACATGGAGCATCAGCGTGCGGGCCGCACTGTGCTCCCCTTCTTAGCATCCCTGATCGGCGTCTCTGTTCCCGCCTCCCCTTCCTGAGAGGTGGCCGCTGTGCAAAGGAGTAGCAGAACCACTACATCCCTGCCCTGCCCATCTCTGCCACGGCCGTGGGTATCAGGTGTCCACGTGGCTGCTCAGTGGACACAGGCTCTCCCCTTCCATCACCCGGTGGGGACAGGGTGCTGTCATTCCAGGCTGGGGACAGCTGGCAGGAGTGGACCTCAGCGCTACCTCTGGCCGGGCCGCAGCTGTGTCCTCCCTCTGTCTGCCCTGGGTCTTTCCACAGGAGAGCAATGCCTGGGACACGAGCGCACCTCCCAGCCGACTCTGTGCACCTCCGTGCCTCCCCAGTGTCGTGTGCCATTCCCTGTTCCTGGCTGGGAGTCCACATCACAGGGCTTCCAGCACGGGGTCACCGGATGCCGAGGGGAGCGTTTACGGAAGCAAGGCCAGGTCTGCCCCCAGGCAGGAGTCTCAGTGTCCACACTGCCGACCGTGGCTCAGCGCGTCACCGACACAGCCGGCCGCTCTGTCAGACGGTGGCCTGCACCTGGGAACTGGACTCTGCCCTGGCCCAGCCCAGTTAGGTTCGTCCCTGGGGAGGGCGGCCTTCCAGCCCTTACTTCAGAGCCGGGGAAGCCCGCGGGTCTCCCTGGATGAGATCCAGCGTCTCAGGTTGTAGGACTCAGGCAGAAAGGCCACCGGCCCAGCAGCCGCCCTGCGAGGCCTGCCAGCCCCTCTCGTGCTGTCTGGCGAGCTGCACACCGTGGAAGCCGCTCCGGGGCTCCCGGGGTGGGGAGCCGTGAGTTCTCGCCCAGACGTTGCAGTGGCTTGTGAGGCGACGGGGGTGCCCCTGGGCAGCGGGGAGGGGACCCCTACGGTTAATTCCCCCGTCAGCAGGACCCCCCGAGACTCGGGGCGCTCAGCCATTGCTGACTTGGGGATGCACAGGACGCTGTTGATAGGGGCACGAAAGGAAGCCCTGGACGTCAGGGAGGAGCCTCGGGAGCTGTGGAACACTTAAGACAGTTTTTTCTTTAAATATAAATTATTTTAAGGTTTAAAAACTTCTTTGAAAGGCAAAGTTAGAGAGATATCTTCTATCCACTGGTTCACTCCCCAAATGGCTGCAACAGCTGGAACTGGGCTGATCCGAAGCCAGGAGCCAGCAGCTTCATCTGGGTCTCCCAGGGGGGTACAAGGGCCCCAGGCCTTGGGCCGTCCTCCACTGCTATCCCAGGCACATTAGCAGGAACTGGATCAGAAGTGGAGCGGCCGGGACTTGAACCCGTGCCCACATGGGGTGCCAGAGCCACAGCTGCAGCCTAACCCGCTACGCCGGAGCAGCGGCCCCTTAGGACGCATTTTGAGTTCCACATTGATGGGAAAGGGACTGAGAGCGTTGTCAGTTATCCCCCCGGGGACGTGAACACACAGCAAGGCTTCCAGGACCAGATCAGCAGGTCTGCCCCCGGGCAAGGTGCCCAGGGCACAACATCCGTGCCACACGAGGGCATTGGCACATGTTTGTGGAAAAGGAAAAAATGAGTTTACTTTGGTGCAGAAATATTCGAAATCCATGCATGACTTTTCATAAAGCACATTTTTCGTGAGCTACATTGAAGACTTTATTATATTCATGGATTTCAAAATTCTTGCATGAAAGTGACATCTTTTAATTTGCTCTTGCCGTGAACTTGTTGAGGGGCCCTCGTGGCTGGCCGTGCGTACAGACGGCAGTTACCGTGCTTGGTGCAGCTCCCCTGGGTCGGGGGGCAGGGCTTGCAGACACCACCCGCCTGCTGCAGATGGGCGAGGGC